TGCAATGGCACGATCTCGGCTCACCGCAACCTCTGCCTCCTGGGTTCAGGCAATTCTCCTGCCTCAGCCTCCTGAGTAGCTGGGATTACAGGCACGCGCCACCATGCCCAGCTAATTTTTTGTATTTTTAGTAGAGACGGGATTTCACCATGTTGACCAGGATGGTCTCGATCTCTTGACCTCGTGATCCACCCGCCTCGGCCTCCCAAAGTGCTGGGACAACAGGCTTGAGCCACCGCGCCCGGCCAGGAACTTTCAATTTTTATAACAAATAAACCAAATCAATTTCATGCCCAGTAAGATCCAAAGAACAAGTTCTACAATATATTGTCTTGTTAACTAAGAAAATAAGATACATGAAAAATGTTTATGAACTGTAAAGCAATGCCCAAATAAGTCATATTAATAATTTTGAACAGCAAAGGAATAACAGAAAATTTTTGAAAAGTCATGAGCTATGTTAATTCAATGATCAGCTGCCTGAATGACAGTTTAAAAACCACCTAAAATCCTGGTGGCTTCTTTATAAAGGTCCCCCAGAAATTATCCAGTGCGCTGATAATGGCTAGAAATTCACTGGACTCCATTTACAGCAACGCTGGGTCCAAACTGCAAAATAGCTAAATAGGGCCTTAGTTGATCATAGGCCAATCTAGGGCTCCTGGCAACAGCAGAATGTCCAAGTTCAGGGAGGGATGTTGACCATGACCTAATAAGAGGCTTTCTTATGAAAGCTGCACTGAATCATTTCAACAGAGTGATCAAGGTGGCTTTCTGCCCTTTCCTTTTACTTTTCTGTTATTTTTTTTTCTGAGATGCAGACTGTCACCCAGGCTGGAGTGCAGTGGTGTGATCTCGGCTCACTGCAACCTCTGCCTCCCAGGTTTCCAGTGATTCTCCTGCCTCAGCCTCCCAAGTAGCTGGGATTACAGGCTCCTGCCACCACACCTGGCTGATATTTGAATTTTTAGTAGAGACGAGGTTTCACCATGTTAGTCAGGCTGGTCTTGAATTCCTGACCTCAGGTGATCCGCTCATGTTGGCCTCCCAAAGTGCTGGGATTAACAGGCATGAGCCACCTCGCCTAGCCTGCTTTCTGCCCTTTTCTTACTGCTTCTACTATCTTTTAATTCGGAAGATAAACTGGGAAGAAACTACAATCAGATGTTACCTGTTTTTTAAATTATACATACTTTAGATTGCAGACTGAATACAAATATTAATCAGAAGCCAAAACACCCCACACAATTCTTATCAATCAACCCAGGCCAATCTGTCTTTCAACTGTACATTTTTATGTTCTTGCCTCACCACTTACTAAAATAAACATAAGAATAAATAGCAATCCAATCCAAAGAAGCATCTCTCATCTATAATTATCTGAAGCAAGGGATTTAAAGATGGGTAGAGTTAATCCACCTCACCAATTGCATCTTCACTGCCTGTTCAGTCACGCTTCAATGTCTACATTCAATTTATAACAAATATGAATATCTAACATTGTAGAGGGAGGCTTCTGGCAGATCCAGTCTGACAAGAACAAAAGGTCAAACAGTTCTTTTGCTGTTCTGTGACAGTTAAAGAGTCTCTGGGTTGGGTTAAAGGGTTGAAGAGTTATGTCTAGATCTGGAATGGATCACTCACACAATTAACTTCTTGTCAGACCAAAATACATGACAGCACAACTTTCCCCAGGCAAAAGGACAGCCAGATGGAAAGCAACTATTTTTCTCAACCTATTCCAAATTTTGAAATAAGAATGGGAATTAATGATGGAAAAAAACATTTCTGAGTTTAAGAATATACTTCTACTTGGGTTGCAGGGGTTACACTTGGAAATCTTGGGAAAACAATCTGTTTTTTTCCCTCATTGGAAACTGGTTACTCAAGTGAAAAACTAATCCTCTCATCACCTTAACTCAGAAACTAAACACTACAAGTTATTAGAGTGTAGGCAGTATTACTCAACTATTGGATCCATACTTTTATTCCTTATACATTGACTTACACAACACTGTTTGCAATGTAGACTTTAGATATTCATAGCTCAGCCGATGAGTAAACATTTGGAGTTTTTCCCCTGCTGATGCTGCCCGCAAGCAACAGTTTAGTTTTGGTGTTTTCATCATCTTTGTCTGACATGAATTTTTGTTTTTGTTCAATGATTGGCGAAACAGAAGTATTGAGCCAAAGAAATTATTAGGCTTGCTATAGGTGGTAAGTATTTGGCTTCAAACAGATATTGTGTGATCAACTATCAAGGAAAACAATGCACAAGTATAAAGTTTTAGAAATACTCTGCCAAAAACGCTATCAAAAAGGTAAGATGGGCCAGGTGCGGTGGCTCACACCTGTAATCCCAGCACTTTGGGAGGCTGTGGCAGGTGGATCACAAGGTCAGGAGTTTGAGATCAGCCTGCCGAAAATGGTGAAACCCCATCTCTACTAACAGTGCAAAAATTAGCTGGGTGTGATGGCAGGCGCCTGTAATCCCAACTACCTGGGAGGCTCAGGTATGATAATCATTTGAACACTGGAGGTGGAGGTTGCAGCGAGCCGAGATCATGACATTTCACTCCAGCCTGGGCAACAGAGCAAGATTCTGTCTAAAAATAAAAAATAAAGAGGCAAGATGACTTGAGAGAGACCTTTCCTCTCTCCACATACACAATACATGAACACATTTAAGTCTATTGTTCAACTTTCAGTGATATCACTTTGTTATCCATTTTGGAGACCCCATATGCACTACAATAGGGGACTACATATTGCCTAAAGGTTAGACTCTAAATCAATTAGTGACTATGTTCAGAACATGTTTACAAAAGATTAAGAGATAAAAGTATCCATAGATCCTTTTTACCTACTTCAAAATGAAACTACTGTAGATAAAAAACTGGAGGCCACAAAGATTATTTTACTTGCCTAATGCTCTACAACTAAATTTATGGTAATGCTGGGTCCAGAACCTGGGGTTACTCTAAGTCAGCAATCTTCCCATCACTATTATTTTGTAAACCTTCGTCATGGTAACATTGCAATTCTATTAGGTTCCTCAAATATCATGGGAGGCATAATTCCTGAGAGCCTTGAAATTACAGTGCTTCTGGGTTCTGGGTCTGTGACTGTCCCTTGTTTCACAAAATGAATATGGTATCTAGTAAGATCTGAATGCCAAATCAATACAGGCTGATGCTGCAATTTTTTTTTTTTTTTTTTTTGAGACGGAGTTTCGCTCTTGTTACCCAGGCTGGAGTGCAATGGCGCGATCTCGGCTCACCGCAACCTCCGCCTCCTGGGTTCAAGCAATTCTCCTGCCTCAGCCTCCTGAGTAGCTGGGATTACAGGCACGTGCCACCATGCCCAGCTAATTTTTTGTATTTTTAGTAGAGACGGGGTTTCACCATGTTGACCAGGATGGTCTCGATCTCTTGACCTCGTGATCCACCCGCCTCGGCCTCCCAAAGTGCTGGGATTACAGACTTGAGCCACTGCGCCCGGCCGCGCAAATGTTTTTAAAATGGTTTCTGCATCTTATCTTCTAGGTCTAAGGTTAAATGTCACTTCTTCAGACAAGCCTTTTCTAGCAACCTTACCTATGCTTGTCCTGTTCTTTATATAACTTTACAGCACATAATACATTTTGAAATAACACATTTATTTAATGATTATATATCTTCTCAAATACATTAATTCCATGAAGGCAGGGTCATCTCTGTTTTGTTCACAACTGTTTATGTAGCACCTACCACACAATCTCAGCATATAAAAGAGGCTCTAATATTTATTGAATAAGGAAATAAATTTCTCTCTCTAATTGCAGTTGAGGCAAGCCTTACGGAAGCCCTAATTATTCCTTTTAGTCTGTCCTAAACTTGATATCTAAGCTCAAGGGATTAAAGTTCCAGGGAAGTAGATTTTCCTGAGATTTAACTCAGCAAAAGCTACCAATTAGAAAGATTCAGAAATGGAATGAACAATTTTGTTGGACACTAATTTCTTTGTTAAAAAGAGGCTGGAAAACCAAGTGCCCAGGCAAACAGAATCTCTCTGCATTAGGCAGGTCAACTTTGACAAACTCTCAGGTGTCTTCAAAGCTTAAGATACTGGAATTTGTTTCTTTTCGGCCGTTTGATTTTGAATTAGGTTAAAATAAATTATACATACAAACTTCATTAGGAAGTAATCTAGGAGAAGCCATCTAATGAGAGTCAGAAAACTGATTATTCAGGCATGAATGCCCATTTACAATTATTTGATACATGCATATTTTACTGATAATACAATTTGCTATAGGTCCTTCTACATGTAACTCAATGAAGAGTAAAGGTCCTTATACATGTAACTCAATAAAGACTAAAACAAGAGTTTTTTAAAAGTTTATGTAGCATTTCAGTTTTAAACACATATGCGTGTATGTACATACACACATACACATGTGATTATGTCAACTCTGAAGAAAACAATGTTGAGCTCCTACACAGTAAGCAGCTTGTCCGAAGTGCCAGAACTGCCAGGTCCCAAACTCCCACATCAGTGCTGTTCTCACTCTTACAGACCAAACTACTTTCTTTTTTGAGATGGAGTCTCCCTCTGTCGTCCGGGCTGGAGTGCAGTGGCACGTTCTTGGCTAACCACAATCTCAGCCTCCTGGGTTCAAGTGATTCTCCTACCTCAGCCTCCCGAGTAGCTGGGAACCACGCCTGGCTACTTTTTGTATTTTTAGTAGAGACAGGATTTCACCATGTTGGCCAGGCTGGTCTCCAACAACTGACCTCAGGTGTTCTGCCTGGCTCAGTCTCCCAAAGTGCTGGGATTACAGGAGTGAGCCACCATGCCCAGCTGACCACACCACTTTTTAACTCTAGAATTACCCATCCTTCAGGCTCAGCCAAATTTCCATCGTCAACTTGAATTGAAAATACCTTTCTTCCAAATTTTACTAGAAAAAAACCAAATGAAATTAAAAAACTATCACTTTTTTTATAGGTGCCAATAAAAATATGTATTTTATTAGAGAAATTATAAACATCAAATATAAACAAATTATAACACAAGTGATTAAAGAGTTTAAATAGTTAATACATCTCATTAGCTTTTATAATTGAAAAGTAACAGTTATTAAATGTGATTTTTCATCCAGTTCAATGAAAGGAGATTTCAATTCAGAATAGCTACTTTATTAAGTCAATTAAGACCTTAAGGAATATTTCTTTTCTGCAATGTTCAGTTAAAGCACTGAAAATAAGATAAGCATTTATCACAAAGTATATGGCAAGGGGAGAAAAGATCCAACATTATTTTGATCTACTAGATGGTTCTCAAAAATTACACAGGAAAGCGATTTAATGATCATAGACAAAGTAAAATACACTATCTCATCCTGTTTTAGAGTTGAAAAGAAACTTTGAGACTATCTAATTCAATTTCTTCATTTCTTCTTCATTGAGGTAAAGGATTTGAGAGTCCCCTTGCTATAAGTACTTCTTCTTGGGGGAAATTATCCTTACGTGAAATGCCTCAACTTTCTAAGAAAATCACAACCAGTTATATTTTTTCTAAGATATCTTATGGCACCACAACAATTACATATTGAAATCTGCATTTCTAAAATCCAAACATGCATTCCAATGTATGCAGAAATCATGTGCAGTGCCTCTGCCATGAGGTGCTTTTCCTTAACCAACCTTTCAGCTATAAAAGACATGAATGAGGAAACCTTGGGAAAGGAATAACATCTTTGATATTGTCAACTCCCAAGATGCACTGCAGGTAGCGTTCAAATCCCATCCCAAAACCTCCATGTGGCACAGATCCAAATCGACGAAGGTCCAGATACCTGTTTTTCAAAAAAAGAAAATGGTGACCTATATATGTTGTGTAAGATCAGATGTTATGGTTAGAATTTTATGTTTCAAAAGTATTTTGCAATCATTTGTTATTATTTACCTCATTGTGATAGACCAATCTTTCCCCTCCACAGTCAGACCAAGGAAAGGAAAAGTTGAATAATTATCCAAGGTTACCCAGAGAAACAGCCGTGAACCCCGTCATACAGTCACGGGCTTTGGTCACTTTTCCTTTTTAAGCTGTTATATTTATGCGTTTACGACAGAAAACTTGCCTCAGGAGGCTAAGATTTTCTACGGCTTTACTCATTTCCTTGAAAATATATGCCTTTTTTATTTCTTGGTACATTAATAACAATGCTTTCTTTTCCTTCCCCAAATCATATTGTTCAATACACAGAGGAGACTGCTGCAGAGTATTGCCTGTTACATTACAAAGAGATATCCTACAGAACAGACTATAAGCTACAACAGAGCAGGAGTTGTGCTTCATTCAACTTTTGATTGCCAGGGAATGCTCTAGAGTAGGCGTGTACTATATAAATTTTGTTTGAAGGCATAAAAATACATGCTTGAATGCTGGAGTGAGGAGAAACCTTCAATTCTCTGCCTCAGGCTTAGTGAAGATGCCCAGAGTCGTTTTGCTGACATGCTGGACAGCCTCTGAAACCCATTCACGCACACTCTTTTCCCGCTTAAGACCAAATGCCTAGACAATGGCACAGCCATGACTGAAATTCAGACGTTAATACACCAACATTGCAAAAAGTTTCAGAAACAGGAAAAGGACAAGTACAAATATTTTATTATGTTATTTGGCAGGGAAGTTCTTGAGTTATATAATATTGATTAAAACAAGTTTATCTTTTCTTACATGATTTGTAAAAATCAGCTCTGCAACAAGACATAAGCAACATAGTTTGCAGCTACTTGGCTCCTCAATCATAAAGACTATCAACCTATTTCCCTACCATTAATAATAATGGCTACATATACTGGTATTGTAGGAAGTTGAATCTAAGTCGTTATTTATTTTTTTTTCTTTTGAGACGGATTTCGCTCGTTACCCAGGCTGGAGTGCAATGGCACAATCTCGGCTCACCGCAATCTCCGCCTCCTGGGTTCAGGCAATTCTCCTGCCTCAGCCTCCTGAGTAGCTGGGATTACAGGCACGTGCCACCATGCCCAGCTAATTTTTTTGTATTTTTTTTTTTTTTTTAGTAGAGACGGGGTTTCACCATGTTGACCAGGATGGTCTCGATCTCTTGACCTCGTGATCCACCCGCCTCAGCCTCCCAAAGTGCTGGGATTACAGGCTTGAGCCACCGCGCCCGGCTAGTAGTTATGTTTTTAAAAGAAAAGATTAATTCCAACCAGATGAGTTGTAACCAGGTAAGAGATCAACATTACAGGGATATCTAGTATAAACCTTCAATTAGTAAAAACCATAAGAAATAATGGGAGGCTGGGCATGGTGGCTTATGCCTGTAATCCTAGCACTTTGGGAGGTCAGGAGATTGAGACCATCCTGACTAACATGGTGAAACCCTGTCTCTACTAAAAATACAGAAAATTAGTCGGCCGCTGTGGCACATGCCTATAGTCCCAGCTACTTGGGAGGCTGAGGCAGGAGACTTGCTTGAACCTGGGAGGTGGAGCTTGCAGTGAGCCAAGATTGCGCCACTGCACTCTGGCCTGGGCAGCAGAGTTAGACTCCATCTCAAAAAAAAAAAAAAAAACCGAAAGAAAGAAATAATGGAAGGCACATAGTCTTGAATAACTGAAATGTTCAGTTGCTAAATTGGCTTTAAGTTTACAAGTCATGGGAACAGTAGACTTTGACTTAGTGACGAAATGAGGGGCATACCAGACTACCTGTGACAAACACCTGCAGGACCTGACCTGGCTGCTAGGAAGTCCAGCAATAGTTTTAAATGGGTCTAAATTTCTCATACATTGATATTAAAACACTGACATGAATGCCTGCAAACTGTATTCAGCAGAAGGGTTGAGTTTATAGCATTCTTCTTGCCTTTGCTTTGATAGATGAAAAAAATCTACTTCTAAGAAGTTTTCTAACATATACGTATTTGTTTAATTGTTGTTAAATTGGTTCCAAGGTAGTGAGATTGTAGAAGAGACCTATAAAATTTGTGGAACTACAGATTTAATTTGCATACGGCATATAGAAATAGGAAGTGAGTTAGTTCTTAGATATCTGGGATGGCTTCTTACCGGACAGTGGAACACTAGCAGTCATCACAGATGTGAAGATGTCTAAGGTCTCTTTTACCTTTATTATACTAAGATAAAAGGAAGCAAATGCAAGATCTTTAAGGATTTGAAAATTTAGTTGGAAAAAGAATGGTGCTAAAATGACTAATAAAGACTAAAAAAGGCCTAAACTTATTTAACCAATAATTAAAATTTGCGTTTAGCTTTTTCCCCCAGACAGACTTTTGTTGTTGTCGCCCGGGCTTGAGTGCAATGGTCCAACCTTGGCTCACTGCAACCTTCACCTCCCAGGTTCAAGTGATTTTTCTCCCTCAGCCTCCCAAGTAGCTGAGATTACAGGCACCTGTCACCACGCCTGGCTGAATTTTTGTATTTTTATTAGAAATGGAGTTTCACCATGTTGGCCAGGCTGGTCTTGAACTCCTGATCTCAAGTGATCCACCTGCCTTGGCCTCCCAAAGTGGTTGGATTACAGGTATGAGCCACTGCATCCAGTTTATTTAGCTTTTTTTTAAGGGTAGTTTTCACACACTATAGAATGCATAAACTTGCTCAATCAGGCATATCTACCTAATAGCAAGACTCAGAACAAAGAAAGGAAAGTGGGTAGGAAATTGGCATTTACTGAGCTTCCACTCTATGTAGATAATTAACCTGTATTGTTTCATTTAATCTACACAGTAACTCTGTGAAGGAGATATCATTCCATTTTATAGTCAAAAAACCAAGATTCAGAGACATTAAGTATGCCTAAGGTCATTACTGGTTAATAGAAGGCATTCAAAAGCCATTACCTGAAGCCAATTTTAGATTATTTTGCATTTCTGAAACCTATCTTCGTAACTTGCCCCTTCCTTTTCCTGAGGAGAGCAATAGGATTAGTAATACTATTATTATTTTTTTTGAGACGGAGTCTGGCTTTGTCACCCAGGCTGGAATGCAGTAGGCACGATCTCAGCTCACTGCAACTTCTGCTTCCCGGGTTCAAGTGATTCTCCTGCCTCAGCCTCCCAAGCAGCTGGGACTACAGGTGCGTGCCACTATGCCTGGTTAATCTTTTTGGTATTTTTAGTAGCAACAGGGTTTCACTGTGTCAGCCAGGATGGTCTCGATCTTCTGATCTTGTGATCTACCTACCTCCGCCTCCCAAAGTGCTGAGATTACAGGCGTGAGCCACCATCCCTGGCCTATATTGTTGATATTATCATACCAAGATCCTGAAGGAATGCTATTACAGAAATATAAATAAAAAATGTATATAGATTGAAAAGTACTTGAAGAAAAAGTCTGCATAAGCAAAACCAAAACAACTTTGAAGAAGTGAATGTATGAGTACAGACAGGTGGTCCTCCCTAAGCAGCTCAGATTTCTATATTTCATGGAGACATCAGGGATCACTTAGCTCAAGCCCCTAATTTCACACATAAAGAAATTGCAGCATCATGGTTAAGAGCAAAGGATTTGTTTCAAATAAATAAATTGATTTTTTGAGAAGGAGTCTCACTCTGTCAGTGCAGGCTGGACTGCACTGGCACAATCTTGGCTCATTATAACCTCCGACTCCTGGGTTTAAGTGATTCTCCTGCCTCAGCCTCTGGAGTAGCTGGGATTATAGGCATGCACCACCATGTCCAGGTAATTTGTTTATTTTTGGTAGGGACATGGTTTCACCATGTTGGCCAGGCTGATCTGGCTCCTGACCTCAAGTGATCCACCCACCTCGGCCTCCAAAGTGCTGGGATTACAGGCGTGAGCCACTGCGCCCGGCCGAGCAAAGGATTTTGATTCAGAGAGATCAAGTCCCATTTCTATCCTTCAAATTGTGTGATCTTGGCTAAGTTAGTTAACAACTCTGGGCCTCAGGCCTAGGGGGTAAGAAAAAGGGGGTTAATAATTGTACCTAACCCAGAGGGTGATAGGATAACTACATGAGATAATATACGTGAATTTTTAACATAATTATCTCACACACAATAAGTAATAGGTAAATGAGAGCTATTATTACTATTTTTCAGGAACCCAAAGGAAGTAAGTCATCTTCTGAGCCCTCCCAACCCCTTCCCTGATCTAAGAACAGTTAAGTTCACAGTTTTTAACACTCTTTCACGGGGTCTTGGGAATATAAGTAAAAACGTTTCTAGGCAACAGTCAGACAAGCAGCTAGAGTAAGAATTATTAGGGCCCACATTCTTACCATTGGTAGACTTCTGTAAGTCTTGATCTGTTAAAGGAAAAGAAAATTCTTTCAGGGAATGACAATAAGATAAATGTAAACATTAAACATTTATTCTGTGTGTGTGCAAAGAAGTCTTTATAAAGAAGCGGACAACAAAGCCTGTGCTCTGAAGTAACACTCAACAGAGTTGAGGAGCTGAAACTGTACAGTAAGTTAACCAACAGCACAAGGTATTATGAAATAAATGGTTTAGACAATAAATATTATAGCAAGAAAATATGATCCAGAGTCTAAAGGGATTCATCTGAGATAAGTCCATTGTCCTGTGACACAAGAAAAGCACTATTTCCAAAGCAACAATGTCTTAAAAAGAAAAAAGAAAGAAAAGAAAAGCACTATTACTAGGCCAGGCATGGTGGCTCAGGCCTGGAATCCCAGCATTTTGGGAGGTCAATGTGGGCGAATCACTTGAGGCCAGGAGTTCAAGACCAGCCTTGCCAATATGGTGAAACCCCATCTCTACTAAAAATATAAAAATTAGCTGGGCATGGTAGTGCATACCTGTAGTTCCAGCTACTCAGGAGACTAAGGTAGACGGACTGCTTGAACTAAGAATATGCCACTGCATTACAGTCTGGACAACACAGTGAGACTCCATCTCCAAAGGAAAAAAAAAAAAAAAGCAAAACACTATTATTACTAGTTAAGGTTGCTGGGAGGCACACACAGACAAGGGACACATAGATAAGCTTTCATTCTTCAACATTAAAACAATAATAAGATTCTGAGGCTGCCTTCACAATATGGTGTCAAATTTATTCTTTTTTGAGAAATATTATTAAAATTTTAAATTCTTAGTCGTAACAGAAATTCAACTCAGTCCTTTAAAAAAAGTGTTTCAGACCACACTGCATCTAACATGACCAGGAATATGAAAAACTGAAATATACAAAAATACAGAAAACATGAAGAGCAGCCACAGACAGATCCCTGAAACAGGGAATCATATATATCCACTTCATTAGGAAAGATGAATTTGGCTATTATCAGGTATTAGGTAAACATTTAATGTTATGAGGAAAGGTTTCCTGGAGGAAGGAAGCGAGCAAAGAAAACAGATCAATTAATCTTTCAACAGACGAGGTTTCTTGCCATGTGTCATTTTTATTGTGCTTTTTAAAACATGTAGAGGATACTCAAGATTCTTTCCAACTAGAGTTTGCCCTTCAATTCCACAACTTTCTCAGGACTTTTTAACACTATAATAGTAGTAAGAAGTTAGTAGTCTAACATATACAGAGTCTTCCCCAAATTATTTAACCCCTTTCTTCTAGATCTTAACCCAATAAAGCAGTTCAGATGACTGGGATAACAAAACTAAGTTACCCAAGAGATTTACATATAAGTTGGGATCTTGAAAAAGCATCAACTTTTAAAGCATTTCCCCACTAGGAAGAGAAGGCCTCACAAATGGCTAACAGAATATTTTTAAACAGTTATGACTTTTCCAGGTTACTATGAAACCCAGTACTATCTTGTGAGAATTAAGCATACAGACGTGGTAAATTCCTTTTTTTTTTCTTTTTTTAAGTCTGGCACTACTTTTACTAAAGTAGAAATCAAGGAGAACAGAGGTATGGTTAGTTTAGGAAGTCATTATGGCTTGTTGGCAGGCCATGTATATGTAGGAGTGGTGGTTCAATCAGAAACACAATTCCTTACTTCCCATCTCCAAAACATTCTCTATGCGCTTACAGATTTATTTCCCAGTTCTCAAACAGCAAGTTAAAATAAAGTTATTTAAACAGCGAAATCACGACCCTTACAAAGAAGAGAATCTGAACAAGTGAAATGTGTTTATTCTAAATGCTAGTTTAGTGGACATTCTTACTAGTTTTCTTTCCCAGTCATAATGAGAGTAAATAAAGAAGGGAGATACTAGAAAAATGTAGGACAAGCTTTAAGGGGGAACGCTGTTTTCTCATTTTTTTATTCTCTACTTTTCATAGGGAAAGGCATGTAAAAATAGTGGGCAAATATCATTGTGGGTTTTACATGTTAAGAGTTCCAGTCCTTTTTTTTTTTTTTGAGACAGAGTCTCACTCTGTTGCTAGGCTGAAGTGCAGTGGTGAGATCTTGGCTCATTGCAACCTCCACGTCCTGGGTTCAAGCAATTCTCCTGCCCCAGCCTCCCAAGTAGGATTACAGGCGCAGGCGACCACGCCTGGCTAATTTTTGTATTTTTAGCAGACACGGGATTTCACCATGTTGGCCAGGATGGTCTCAAACTTCTAACCTCGTGATCCACCCGCCTTGGCCTCCCAAAGTGCTGGGATTACAGGCGAAAGCCACTGTGCCCGACTGAGTTCCAGTCCTTAAGAAACGGAAGCTCAGAGATAAACAAACAACTTGCTCAAGGACACAGAGAATTTGATATACAGTTCTGTCAGGTGCTGAGGCCCAGGGTCTTTATTCTGTTACTATGCAATGATCAGCTTTGAGCACCTTATGCTCAGTTTCTCAATTGTGTTTCTTTTAGGTCTGACCAATACCTGGCTAAGCGCTCCTCTAAGAAATGGTATCGTTCTTCTCTGAGGCCTCCTCCAAAGAGTTCCCCAACTCCAGGAACCAGAAGATCAACAGCAGCAACCTAGAAAAACAAAATAAAAATTATTATCAGCATTATTTTCAGGCGATTACAATAGTCAGTTTCTGAAGCAAGCAAATGTTTAACATTTTGGCAATGGCTAATTACCTACCTACCAGAATCTTACTGATTTTATCTGTCTATATTCCCTGTTTCACTATCAAATGTTTAATATTATATTATTTTTTGAATACTTGCTATATACAAATTACAAGTGGACAGTTTCCTCTCTACTCTTGCACCATCTGTGGTATACTTAACAAAAATGCCTTTTCTTCATAAATGCGATAGAGAAGTTCATTATGAAAGTTCATTATAAAAATGTACAAAGTGTTAAAAATTACCTATCACCACCAGAAACAATTACATTTTGGCAGATTTCCTTTCAGATTTTTTCCCTTTTACATTTACAAAGAGTAATTACAGATAAAAACTTACCACTTGTCTTACCTAATACTACAAACTAGTATTTTTCGTATGTTAGTGAAAATTCACGTTATGTTTCAATAGGTTTACTGTTTAATAGTTTTAGAATTATAATAATTTATTTAACTGTTTTCCTTTTTAGTTGCACATTTAAGGTGTGTGTATTTCTGTTTTCTCTTATAATGTGGCAATGAAGAGTTTAATTTGTAGTAGTGTTATTATGTATAAAATACATTCTGACTGTTAATCCAAGAAGTACAAAATTAAGCTTTTTCTGGTCCCGGTCGCAGAAGCAGGATGACAAAGGGAACATCATCGTTTGGGAAGCGTCCTAATAAGACACACACATTGTGCCGCCGCTGTGGCTCTAAGGCCTACCACCTTGAGAAGTCGACCGGCAGCAAATGTGGCTACCCTGCCAAGTGCAAGAGAAAGTATAATTGGAGTGCCAAGGCTAAAAGACGAAATACCACCGGGACTGGTCGAATGAGGCACCTAAAAATTGTATACCGCAGATTTAGGCATGGATTCCGTGAAGGAACAAACACCTAAACCCAAGAGGGCAGCTGTTGCAGCATCCAGTTCATCTTAAGAATTTCACCGATTAGTCATGAAATAAATGTTCTGTTTAAAAAAAAAAAAAAGTACAAAATTAAAAGAACATGATACCATTCTGGAGTTATCAAAATGGAGATGACGGCCAAGCACAGTGCCTCATGCCTATAATCCTAGCACTTTGGCAGGGTGAGGGAGGCGGATTATCTGAGCTCAGGAGTTTGAGACCACACTGGGGGCAACATGGTGAAACGCTGTCTCTACTAAAATACAAAAAATTAACTGGGCTTGGTGATACACGCCTGTAATCTCAGCTACTCGGGAGGCTGAGGCAGGAGAATTGCTTGAACCCGGGAGGTGGAGGTTGCGGTGAGCCGACACTGCACCACTGTACTCCAGCCTGGGCCACAGAGCAAGAGTATGTCTCAAAAAAAAAGCGGGGGGATGATCAGAAAATAATATATCTGTAGGACTAAGTCTGAAAGAAAAAATATAGGAAAATAACATGAACAATATAGATAAGATAATGAATACGCTCATATAACTGATACAACCTTTCTGGTCAGCAGTTTGGCAACAGATAACCAAACACTTGAAAAATGCAATATGCTTTGACTCAGCAATAACGATTCAAGGAATCTGTCCTAAGAAAATCAGAGATGCAAAAAAAGATTAACACACAGGATGTTTATTACAGCAGTACTTATGACAAAAAATTCAAATGTACATCAATAGACTATTAGATAAGTTTTACACATGGATAGAAAAATGACTATCATCTACATGAGATGTTCTGTTGCTACTGTGGTGAAATTACATTTTAAAATTTTGTTTTCTTCTTTTATTTGTATTTTCTTATTTTCTATACTAAACTAACTATAATTTTATAAAACATAAAAAAACTCTTAGTAAGGAAAAATGATAGCTTAGTATTTTAATTTGCATTGCTTCAACTACTAAATTAGTATTACTAAATTAATTACATTTCTTCAATTATTAAATTAGCAATATTTAATTTTTCAGGCCAGGCATGGTGGCTCATGCCTATAATCTCAGCACTTTGGGAGGCCAAGGCGGGCGGATCACCTGAAGCCAGTTCTAGACAAGCCTATCCAATATGGTAAAACCCTGTCTCTACTAAAAGTACAAAAAATTAGCTGGGTGTGGTGGCAAGTACCTGTAATCCCAGCTACTCAGGAGGCTGAAGTTGCAATGAGCCAAGATTGTGCCACTGCACTCCAGCCTGGATAACAGAGTGAGGTTTTGTCTGCCCCCCAAAAAAATAACTTAAAAATTAAAAGAATATATATTTATTTGCAGCTGGGCATGGTGGCATGTGCTTGCAGTCCTGGCCACTTGGGAAGCTGAGGTGGGAGGATTGTTTGATGCCAGGAATTTGAGACCAGCCTTGTCAACACAGCAAGACCCTGTCCCTAGAAAATATTTTAAAAATGCTTATTTGCAGTTGGGTGTAGTAGTGCATGCCTGTGGTCCCAGCTACTTGGGAAGCTGAGGCAGGAAGATCCCTTGAGCCCAGGAGTTTGAAATTGCAGTGAGCCATGATTACACCACCTGTACTTTAGACTAGGCGACAGAGCAATACCTTGTCTCAAAACACAAAGTATTTATTGCTACCTGTATTATTTTGTGACTTTCTAATTTGTCTCTTTTGGGCAGCTATACATTTTTAAGCCCAAGAACCTAAAGGTAGAAAACTAAGATTCAGTGTCACAAATGAAAAATAAGGAATCCATAAAATACATTTTCATCTTTAAATGTCACATTATATTATAAACGTCTTAAAAACTTTGCCTTACTTTGCCATTAAGCCATCCCCTTCTCAGTTTTGATGTAGAAACTTTTGATTGAGATATACTTTACAAATAATCGACAATAATAAAGAATAATTCAAGATTGTGCCCCCAATGCTGTATACCTTATCCTCATTACTATCATTAAAGAGAAAAACATCAGCTCTGACCCTCATCACTAGGCTGAATTAGAGTGAGCAAGAACAGCTACAAAATTAATATGGCTGGGCTCTAATCAGGACCCTGCAGTTATCCCTTCTGTCCTCAAAGCAAGGAGAAAGTCTGAGATCTTTATTTCCTGGTTTCTTGCTTTGAGCCATGGCTAAAATATGATAGGAGTTAAGAGATAAGTGGCAAAAATTCTGTTCATACCTTCAATCCAGAGTGTTAAATTTAAAAATATAGGCAATCAACTTTGGAACAGAATAGCAACCAGTGACTGTCCGGCCTCTGCTTGAAAATATTAAAGCCTGAGAAACAATATCCCGGAAACAGAGCATTCCATCCTTGTTTAGCTCTAAAATTAACTAAAAATGGATTAAAGATTTAAATATAAGACCTGAAATCATAAAACTACCAAAAGTAAATACAGACAAAAAGTTATATAACATTGGTCTGGGCAATGATATTTTTGGAGATGACTCCAAGAGCAAAGACAACCAATGCAAAAACCAGATAAATGAGATGATATCAAACTAAGAAGCTTCTGCACACCAAAGGAAACAACAAAGTGAAGAGGCAACTCAAAAAATGAGAAAGAATATTTAGAAACCATACATCTTATAAGGAGTTAATAACCAAAATATAGAAAAAACTCACACAACTCAATAACAAGAAAACCCAATTTAAAAAAGATAAAGAAACTGAACAAACATTTCTCAAAAAAAAAAAAAAAAAAAAAAAGACATACAAATGACTAATAGGTACAAGAAAAAATGTTCAACATCAGTAATTATTAGGGAAATGAAAATTAAAACCACACTAAGTTATCATTTCACACCTGTCAGAGTGGTTTTTTTTCCCCTTCCTACAGATATATATTTAAACAGAGACGGGGTCTTGCTATGTTGCTTAGGTTGGACTTGAACTCCTGGGTTCAAGCAATCCTCCTGCATCAGCCTCCTGAGTAGCTGGAATTATAGGCACATGCCACCACCACACCCAGCTTTGAATGACTTTTATAAAAAAAAGATGAAAGGTAAGTTTGGAAATGATGCAGAGAAAAGGAACTCTTATGAACTGTTGGTGGGAATGTAAATTAGTACAGCCATTATGAGAAATGGTATGGAAGTTCCTCAAAAACCTAAAAACAGAATCATGCACCTCAGCAATTCTACTTCTGGGTATATAAATATCCAAAGGAATAGAACTCAGTATGTCAGTGGCGATACCCGTACTTTAATGTTCATTGCAGCATTATTTATAATAGTAAAGATACAGAAACAGATAAAGGAAATATTGTATATACACACAATAAAATACTATTTAGCCCTAAAAAAGAGGTAAATCCAGTCACTTGTGACACATGGATTAATCTAGAGGATATTGTGCTAAGTGAAATATGCCAAAAATAGAATGATAAATACCACGATTTCAACTATATGTGGAAACCAGTAAGTTGAAAGGACAGAAATAGCTAACAGAATGATGGTTAACCAGAGACTGGAGGAGTGGGAAGGAAGGGAATGAAGAGTTGCTGATCAAAGGGTACAAAGTTTCAAATAAACAGAGGAATGGGAAACAGGAGAACAATTTATTAATCAAAAGGTGTGAAATTTCAGATAGAACAGATTTTGAGATTTATCACATAAAAGGTGACTATAGTCAATAAAAATGTATTATATATTTTAAAATAACTAAGAGTAAATTTCAAATGTCTCACCATAAAAATGATCAGTAAGCCAGGTGAAGGATGTGCTAATTAGCTTGATTGAATCATACCATATTGTATATACGTATCAAAACATTACGTTATACCCTATTATGTTAGAATGTTGCATTTATTCATTATATATGCAACAATGACTTGTCAGAACAAGACGAAAGAAAAAAATAAGGGATAGGTATATTCAAATTCTATCATTTTCAAGGTTTCAAAATAGGAGTGATTCCATGGAACAAGGGTAGGCAGTAATGACTTTTGATACTGTAAGTACATGTAAAGCTTAAGAGCCAAGGCTAGAAAGGTCTACTGCCTCCAAAAGATGCTGG